TCACCACATCCTCGAGCGCTCAAGCTGATCGTCCGCGACCGTTTATTCGGAGGGCCGAAGCCCACCTTATTGATGGTTAGACAATAACCAATAGTAGTTTCAACTGATGGAACAATCCGTGATACTTTATCCTCAGCCCGAACAGCGCTTGCGTCTACATTGTCCTCAGTACGGGATCATTGCTGATGTTTTTTCGAGGATGGATGTTCTGGCACCCGCAAATTTTTACCTTGTTATTGCTGGTAGCCCTGAATTACACCAATCATCTCTAAGTGATTAGCGAAAAGGAAAGGCAATAAACTGTCATACAACAGTGCAAGAATAACGGGTAGAAATAGTTGAAACTCATCATGAAGGACCACGTAATTCATTCGTAATCGTAATCCACGGTAAACAAGTTTAAACCCATTAAGTCTTTCTGGGGAACTCAAAAGTTCTCCGTAGTTTCACCACGGGTTTCTAAACGTTACCTCTGACGGTAATAACACCGTCAGTAATGACAAGCATTCGCTATGCATAGCCGTCGTTCACCATTGCCTGACAAGCGTCACCGGATAATTTATTACGTTCTCATCGATCACAGCTTTTGGTAAGCAGTCTGTGAGGGCTGGGCTGAAAAGAAACAGCAATCTAGGATGTGGTTGGCAAAAGACAATGATACGCTGTTAACGAAACTTGACTGATCCAATACAAGCGGACTGTATGCAAAGAAAAGACGTGACGCGAGCAGAGAAACGAGGTGAATCACCCAAGACTACATAATACACCCGCTGCACTATTAGTCTACCGGCAGCCGCTTGTTTGACCAATAAAAGAACAAGGATGATCTCGTCGATTTATCAACTGTACGTCCTGAAGAAGTGGGGGGGGGGCGAAAGACCATGAACGTCGTATTTAACCGACAATTAGCCTTCATTCAGAACCATCCACGATCAGGTTCATAAACCAACCGTATGAAACGACGCCGCGATGCACAAATCCACCTACTGACGAGGCCATTGGGGTAGTATAACGGCACAGAATTTTGAACACGTGCAATCACTCCTTTCTGTGCTTCCATCCCAACCAAAAGCGGTTGGTATGCTCGCAGTGATCAGGAATCTCAATCAAAATAACCTAACCTCAAAACAGAGTAACCTACAAACCCGATTGTGCGCCATTTGAGCCTGCCGATACTAACCGGCCCTCTGGTAACAAGCAGCTTCCCTCTTGCCCGGCTCAACACCACACCTAACCAGGCGAGATCTTGCGGCTAAACGCTCCCGAGGCTTAGACCACTGGTTTTCATGATCAAAAAGCAGATCTTCGTGACGATAGGGTTCGTCAAATCTTCTCATCACAATACGAAGTGTAATACAAATAGTATCTGATGAAAGCCTCTGGAGTTATGCTGAACCAGGTACATTCACGCACAAAATGCAGCTTGCTGCATCACGCCTGAAACAACCACTTGGATACTGGTGACCGATGACCTACGTTTCCACGGTTGGGCTTGAAGGGGAAACACAGGTCCGAACGGTTCCCGAAACCATAATCTCCGCTGGCCTACCCTCGGACCGCCGCGTCTAAAGGCGACCACGATCGAACATTCAGCAAATCGATTATTCCCCACGCAGCAGGGGGTTGCGAAGGTAAAACGAAGTGGAAAATAAATCAATCCGCAGCGGTGACACAGACTCTCGTTGCGGCCAGTATTCATGAAGACAGCGTAATAGTCCCCAAGTGAAAAAATCATTTTCATAAGAAATTAGGTTGCATTATGCCTTGTAAATAGAACGTGTCCACCATGAAGTTGGTATAGGTACAAGGGCAAATAACTGGATAGTGCACAACTGTGAACCTTCAAATTTGGAAAACAGTCGCAAGCGAATTCTGAGATTAGTCAAATTCAGAAATTCCGTGTTGACAACAGATATCACACTGACCGATCGCAGTTTGCAATCAACCCGAAGCAGAACCCGCGTAACGATCACACAATTGTAACGTAAGACCCGACGTATTGCCCAATAGTGCTGTACAACAGACAGTATTTAGCAAACCTAACTGCTCGCCGACCACAGTCAAAACCGAAATGCGCAATAACCGAATCCAATAACAAACGTTTATTTCCGAATTTAGGAACGAGGTCGTTCCTTCTTGTGTGTATACAAAGCACGAAGAGAAACGTTGGCTACTTTTATTATCTTGAAACGAACACCCGGAATATCACCGACGGCGTGTCCCTTACGACCGAATCCAGCAACCAGGACCTCGTCGTTTTCCTCGATGAAACTTAAGCAACCGTCTCTCGGGACGAAAGCCGTAATTTTCTTGCCGTTCTTAAGAAGTTGCACCCTTACGCACTTCCGGACAGCGGAGTTCGGTTGTTTAGCCTCCACACCAATCTATAGGGAACATAAGAAAATTCGTTTCACGATATTACCTTTTCTAGCACTATTCCTTTAGCGTGAGAAGCACCTCCGAACGGGTTAGCTTTCCATCGCGTTCCGATATGGGCCTTTTTGTACTGCTTATCATGCCACCTTTGCGACCGGCGATGTGTCGCCAACTTTCGTGCCGTCTTCAGACCAGCCGGCTTTCCCTTCGCCATTTTCCACGTGAAGTTTGTACAAACCAGTGACCTTCACCGGTGCACATTCAAACAAGTTCAGTTCAGTTCAGTTCAGTTCAGTTGCACAGGACGAATATGGCTCTTGCCAA